GCGGCATACTTCTCATAATCTGCACGCCTGCAGAGATTTTCCGTCTCAAAGAAGTCTTAGTAGTGTTTTTCAATTTTGTCCATTTTTAAAGGACATCGCTTGGAGCATCGGCATTCATAACAGTTTGCAAAACCTTTTTCCTCTTGTAATAATTATATTGTGCAACCTCATACTGATACTGCTCTTTCCGACGACCCCTGTCTTCTGTGTTCGCTCTCTGCAGATTTGAGACTTGTCCAGTCACTTTTTTTTAATTTATTTTTTCTTATTCTGTAAAATTCAATGGCTAAGTGCTAGGGACCTGGCAGTTCCGCATTGATAATCTTTAGAAAATTCAGGAACTTGCCTATGACTCATCAAAATCCGCAATATTTATCATGTTTTGTTTTGAGAGGTTCTTGAACACAGTAAAACATCCAACAATGTCCTCTTCTATTTTTGATACCTCACCCTCTAAATTTTTACGACCTATTAGATTTTTCACTATGCCCCTCAGTGTAGTGCTGTTCGCCTCCCTGGGATGCTTTTTCGCAATTGGTGCAAAGGGTACAAAACATAATCACGATTTACTAACAATGAAACATCTTTCATTGAACAGTTGATAGACTTTATGAATTATAGCAGAACAATCAGTTCTGCCATACACGTGGTTCGGATGGAAATACATATTTTCCTTTGCTTTTTGATTTGCCTTCGTATATTTGTTTAATTAAAAAAAAAAAATGTATGTATTGTACGATGTAAAAATAGGAATTCAAAGAATTGAATCCCTTTTATATTTAAATTTGTATAGGAGTTAAGTCAAGAATTACCTCCATCACTGCCACAAACTATATCTTGATTGTTCTTTGAATTAAAAAATAATTGTTAATAATCAAACTTTCTTTTTACATATGTTTTTCTTTATTGTCAAGACAACAGATATGGATCTATTCCTGGACGAATGCATAGTTTTTGGAAAGAGGTTGAAGTCGCTTGGAGTTCCTGTGACGTTGGACATTCTGCCTGGTCTCAATCATGGCTTCCTCAATTTTTCCATGGTATTTTCTTTTTTTAATGATGATTCAGACTTTTATTATTTTAAAAATAATGTAATGGCATCTTTATTCTTATTATCTGCACTCCTTAAATTAACCCATGACCTCCAAAATTCCATCGAACATCAAAACCTTACTTACGAAAAATGAACTTTACTTACTTACTTACTTACGAACCTTGTAACGAAAAATGAAATACAAAAAAAATTAGTTCATTAAATAATTTTTAGTTTTTATAAATAATAATAAGTTTTTTTTATTAACTTGAAGAGGGTTAAATATAAAATTAAGTATTTAGTATTAGTTTTAATAATAAGTAATTGTTTATAATTAGTCTTAGTTTTAAGTATTAGTCGTAAATATTATTTTTAAGTCAGTGTAACAGCCAACAGCTGATTTGGAGGAAAAACAAAAGACAGTAAAGAGATGGCGGAACCTCGCGAGTGTTGAGGCACGCGAAGAATTTTGTGTTTAAAATGCTTTAGTTTTACAGTGTACAACAGATTTTCTTTACTATTCATGGACCTATTATTATCAGCGACGAGTGCCGCTTGATCTTACAAGTTGGTGAATGAACATTTTGACAACTTGAGGAGATAGATTGTGGAGACATTGACGACACTAGTTCGAATAAGTTTCCGCTTCTTCAGATAACCCAATGTGCCAATTGGACAGAGTTCAACCAATGGGATATTGTAAATATGTACATATAAGTTTTTTTTCTATCTATTTTAATTTCTAAATGTTTTACAATTGGTATATTGTATAGTTGTAAGTTAATGTTTAGTCCTATAATAATTTTATAATCTTTTCTTTGATAATTAAAGTTAATTATATTTTTTTTTGTTTTCTTATAAATCTAATTGATTGTTCATAATTTCCTTTATCAGTTATTTGAATTAATAGAAATAAGTAAATTCATCATTAGTATTAATAATAGCCAGTTTTATTTTCTTATTTTTCTTCTGTCTGTTTTCATGTTTTATGTATATATTATATTGTTTTTTTTCATGTTTAATAATGAATTGTAAAACCCTATTCGAGGGATTAGGGAAAGTCATTATTAACCAAGTAAGAAGGTTCGAGGTTCGATAGGTTATGAGGTTAATTAACGTATGTTTTAAACCCATAGGTTCCGAGTTCGTAGCTCATTCCGTGTCCTAATTTTTTTTTAAATTAAATTTATTTATTTTTTTTTTTTATGGTTTTCATTATTTTCCAAATTCAACTAATTAAATAGCATGGCGCTCGTTAGATAGTTAGTAATAATTAATTGACTTTTTTTTTTTTTTTTTTTTTTTTTTTTTTTTTTTACGAAAACAATTTTTCCAAATTAAAGACCGTAACAACCTCATCCTTCTAGATTTTTCTAAAACGTTTCACACAGTTGATTATAACATACTCCTTACTAAATTGTAAAATCTTCCTCTATCCAACAGTGTACTGCATTGGTTCAAATCCTTCCTCTCAAATCGTTTCCAGTGTGTAGTTGTCCCAGGTCAACCTCCAAGACACTCCCCCTCTCCTGTGGAGTTGTTCAAGGTTCCTCTCTATCCCCTACTCTGTTTGCTATTTACATCGATGACCTTCCTCTCCTGTTTTCTCAATACTATATCAATGCAAACGATTTCCGAATATACCTGTTCTTCCTGCCTTCTGATCTATTGCTAGCCACAAAAAAACTTCAAGAAGACTTAAACAGAATCTGTAACTGGAAGGAGCTAACAAGCTAAAGTTGAATGCAGTGAAGACGAAGGGAATCCTAATATATTCCAATCACCTCCTTGCGAACTGTTCCTACATGACAATTCCATCAAATTTTATCCCACCATCGAGAACCTTAAAATAACGTTTGACCAGATTCTTTCCTAGAAAGACCATGTATCCAATATCTCCTATTGTACCTTTGCGAACTTAAAACATATAAATTGCCTCGTCATAAGTCAGCTTCATATAAACGGCAAAAATAGGGTAAATCTTGCCAATTATTGTAAAGTAGCCTAGCAATACAGATATGCCTTATACTAAGAATTCAATTATTAGTTGATTAATAATGTTAAGTCAGAAAAATCATTTATGTATTTATATTAAAAATGTTTATGTATTATAGTCTATATCCAGTGCCAGGGTTTTGTTTTAATAATCACGTGTGTAAATAACCTAGTTCCCCCGATATAAAAACGGAAGGCTATTCGCAATTCCCGCCAATAAGGATTATTGGACTTAACAAAGAATTATTACAATTATTAGTTATTTACAACATGACCCCTAAAGGCCATTTTGTTGCTCTGAACTCAATGTATGACACATAAACAAATTATTGAATATCGCTCATTGTTGACATCATAGGCAAGAACACTAGCTATAAGTTATTTAAACGTGTTAAAATATGTCCGATTTGATCTAGGTGAGCAATGAGGCCAACGAAGGAGCCAAAGCCTGCTATCAAAAGATCGCCGAGCTGTTCGACAACATCCCCTCAGCGAGCGACTCATCCGTGCCGACCCCGGCCGAAGAGTGCCTCTGATACCGATGAGGCGGTTTCGATTCATCATTATATAATTCATCTGTGATTATAGATCTGTTCCCTTAATATTTGTTATTCTTCCGTTTTATTTTATTATGTATTTCACTGTGCGTTTTGTTAATTTTATCGCTTAAGCAAGATGAGTACTTAATGTAACGTAGGCATAGTTTTTCTTTTTGTTAAACATGTATTAGTTGTTTGTATAGATAATGATATATTTAATTAAAGAATCTATTTATTTATCATTTGATACTTATGCACGTAGATATATTGATTTGTCTAGGTGTCACTGAATCTTTTTAAATGATTTTCTTTCTCTTTGCAATTGATGGCTTATGGTAAGTCTTTCCTCATCTGTGGTTCTAATATTAACAAAGTTTAAGTCTAAAGAAATGCCTATAAAGAGAGGGAGGGGGAATTAACTGATTTTTAAATTATTATTCTTAATTTCCTTTGTTGATGAATTCAGATATAATTTATATTATTCCAAGAAAACTTAAAATTCAATTTTATCATAAATCAAAAAAAAAAAATTAAATAAATACTGGTTAGCAATATAGTGGACAGGCACATCTTAAATCTCCGATATCGTTTACAAAATATTCAAAAATATATACATATATTAAAAGAGGATACCGTAATGTCCTAATTTATGTATATGTTAGTAAATATTTTGTAAGTAATTATTAAGAAATTTATTTGCTTATGGAGATGAACAAAAGGTTATTGCCAAAACTGTTTATGTATTCAACGAACTGTATTATACTACAATTGGTTTATCTGTTATTATTAAGATGCCTTTCTAGTCCTTAATTTAAAGGTATTACTAATTTCACTAATTAAGGATACAAAATATTTTTGTACTGTTAGATTAGTGTGTTATGGTATACATGTTTTTGTTGGTTTTTGTTGGCATGCCACGTCTTTTTTTTTTTTTTTTAAACTAACATATGTAGTATTTTTATTTATTTATAAAATTAAAGTAAAGTGTTTTAGGTGATGAGTAGTTTCTTGATTGTCTCCTTTAACCTGATCCGATAACACCTTTTTAGTGAATATCCTGAAAGAAAACAAAATTATAAAAAATAAAAGAAAACTTGCATGAAACCAGATTATATTCAGATTTGTGAACATTTCGTTGAATGTAAACAACTCATTACCTATACAAAAATATTGATTAAACTATTCACCATTGCAAAATAAATGTAACACTATTTTCCATAGAGATAAGACAAATAATAGTTCAAAAGAATATTGAAATAATTATAAAAAATACAATCAGAAGTTTCTAAAAAAAAAAAAAAAAACAGCTTTTTTATAAGTTTACTTAACAATATATTTTTTTTCATAATTTCAATAATTTAGTATAACATTATATTATTAAGTAAAAAAACCAAACTTTAATAAAGTTATTAATATAAACTAAAAATATGACACTTACAAGATATTTACAGGGCTTATGCTTTTAAGAGAGGTAGCAAAAATAATTATTTAAAACAAAACAACATCATTTTTAACGAGAAATATTGAAAAATAAATATTGTGTAACAGTATCAACAGTATTGAAAAATATGAAATTTATATGTATTGTGTCTTCTATGTTCGTTGAGTTCGATCGGAAAGTTTGGTCGATAGGATATGGTCTATTGTACTACAAAAAGGCTTGTGCTACATCTTCCAGCTCCCGTTTACGTGCTTCTTGATGGGCCCATCTCGCTTCGGCCATCTTGTCAGAAATCCTCCACTTGTCATGGTAAATACGTTCTCCGCAATCGGGACATTTCTTACCTCCTAAAAATAAATTAAAAATTGCACTTGAGAAGTGTCAAGAAAAAAGTCAACATCAAGAAAGAAAAAAAATGATTGAAACCAACAGAATGTAATAAAAATCTGGTGAGCGCATCACACCACTTTCACTTACCACCCTCTTAGCAGAAATAAGTATTCTCAGACAAAGGGGAAGTGAAAGTAAAAATTATAAACGCTATATTGATTTATATTTCATTGTGAATATTTTTATTTCACTGTATTCCATACAATTAAATATTAATGAGAAGAAGAATAGTTGGGATGATCAGTCAAATAAGAAGGCAAATATAAATGATAATATTTATTTTGTCATTTGCCGACGTTTCGACCTGAAGTTCAGGCCATCATCAGGGCTAAGAAAAGAACCAGATAACAAGGTTATGAGAAACATAAAAATTACAGTAAAATGAAGTTGTTAGAATAATGACAATAGTAAGAACAAAACATCTCAATTTTCTATCTAAATATTCTATTCACTATATCTTAATTTTACTATTTATTTCCATTTCTTATATAACTTCATATTTTTCTGTGTTACATTTTATTCTAAGATTCCCTTTACAATACCTTTTTGACTATGTTTACTTCATCATTCCACACTTTGTACCTGTTATTATTATTTGTCTCTTGTTCTTACTATTGTCATTATTCTAACAACTTCATTTTACTGTAATTTTTATGTTTCTCATACCTTGTTATCTGGTTCTTTTCTTAGCCCTGATGATGGGCTGAACTTCAGGTCGAAATGTCAGCATATGTAAAAATAAATATTATCATTTATTTTTGCCTTCTTATTTGACTGATCACCCCAACTATTCTTCTTATCATTATTCACGACAGTCAACTATTTAACCACTATTAATTAAATATTAAATAATACCAACGATAGCATTTATGAAAACCGCACATGTATATGTACTACATAATATTGTTCGAGTCGGATTTATATTAAGCTCATGTTACGTATGTACTCTTTCGGGTGAGCTCGGACACGCTCGTATCCCTTTGGTTCGTTCCATTACGAATGGAACGAAGAGCTCCGCAGGAATGGTATGATCATCAGTACAAGAAAGAGCAAGATCCTACAGGTTGGAAGGGTGCAGGAAGCAGGAAGATGTTACAGTGTATTGCAACGGAAGCTGTTCCTCCACAATCCGCCGGAGCCCCCTTTCTAAGATGGAGGTATATAATTTATGGACCACAGAGAGCAGACTGATGGGTCTATAGTTATTGCAGTCCGTTGAACTGCCTTTTTATGCTATATTCCCAATCCTAGGGAATTTTCTTTCTATCATATACTTCCTGGAAGAGCATTTTTGCTATTCTTTCCCCCTATATCCTTTTAACATGATCAAACCATGGCTGATTCTCTTCCATTATCTGTCCAGCCATGTTTTATTTCCAAATTACTTTTTATTGTAATATTTTTGACACTATCCCTCCTTATTTTTCCTTTTATCTTCTTTAGGTACCTCATCTCCATTCCTTGTATTTGGCTCCTGTGTCTTGATGTCAAGAGTCCAAGATTCACTCAGACTTCGGAGGGAGGATTTTTCCCCCCAAATAAAAATGTTAAGGGGGCGAGAATATAGTGTCGCCCTCTCCTCCAATAAAAATGTTGAGGGGGCAAGAATATCATTTCACCCTTGCTTCCCCCAATAATTTGAATATTTAAAAAAAATTAAAATTGGTAAAAAATAAGCTACATGAATAAATAAAATATGTAGACTAGCTGGCTGAGCTAAGATCTATAAATATGTATGTAAATATTTTATCACGACCTAAATATTCCGATTATATAAAATTTTCATTCATATTCAGGAATAAAACATAATATTGAAACATATCCTTGGATTTTATGATTCATTCATCTTTCATCTGGACTCCTCCATTTTCACATGATTTTATTATAAATTTTCTGCAATAAATTAGGAAAAAAAAAATTTAATAAGTACAAGTATAAATATATGTTATAGGGAATGTTTTTATAGACATTTTTTATATAGTCAGATTGCAAAAATGTTTTATTTTTATTTAGAGATTGAACGAATTAAGAAATCAAAAATATTTTGCAGTTTTTAAGATTATTTATCTTTTAGCTGAAACATTTTTAGAAATGTATCTATATTATGGAGGCTGAACCCCTTCCTCTCATGTTTAATGTATACAAATTGTAATATATTCCATTGTTTTGTTCAGATATTTTTTGAAATATATCCATAAGCACATAAAAAAAATATTTAAAAATCCTACAACTGTCTAAGCATACATATAAATTTATTTTTAATTACCCAATACTATATTTGTTTGTCAACAATAATTATGTTGAATTTTTACACATAATATGAACTACTATTTTTTTTTTATCCATTCCTCGCCCACCCCAATAAAAATGGAAAGTCCGTGCCTATGGACTCACTGGCATAGGTCAGTAGGCGTATAAACATCATCTTATATACTCATTTTTGACCTTTTTTGAAACTTCTTTCTTTTCCAGGAAACCAGACTTCAGTGAATGGAAGCATTTTCCGGATAATTTTACTCTTTTTCTGATTTCACCCTCTACCTTGAAGTCTCTTGAGTCGTTACATTACCTCCAGCAGTATTCGGTCCCACATTCTTCCTTCCTTCCTATTCTCATTACTTTAGATTTGTATGAGTCAATCGATGTTTAACAGCTATAATTCTTCCTGTAGGATTCGAGGTTGAATTGTAGATTTCTCCTATTAATCCTGAATACCACTGCATCAACTGCATACGCTAGCGGGGTGAGGTAAACTGGATTTAAATCTATATGGCCTCATTCTCGTCTTTGCACTCTTCAAGGCCACGTCGAGTACCATTATAAACAGCGATGGACTAAAATTAAAGCCCTTCCTTATTCTTTAGATGATCTTGAGCTCCTCGTACAAGTGGTTGGTTCTCACCATGTTTTTTTGTTTTTTATACAAACCAAGTATGGCCCTCATTAGAACTTTTTTGATGTTCTGGTCATCCAGAGCTTTGAGTTATATCCATTTTCCTGACCCTGTCAAATGCCTTGCATCTTTTATAATAATTTATAATTACATCTTGAGATTTAATAATAATTAAAAACAATCCCCACTTAATTGTATGCCTTAAGTTCAATTTAATAAAAATCAGAATTAACTTTTACCCCGCTATCTACAACCCTTTTTTTTTTTTTTTTATATTAAACGCCTCTGCCGTTGGCTATTAGGCCATTCGGCTCCTGACAGCCCAATACAACTCCGCCATGAATCCTTTTCCATACCTCTAACTGTACAGCCTCCAATTTATCATTCTCTTCCATCTTCTTTTTAATCGAAAAGGTTACCTTGAGGGATGATTTAGCAGCGACAATTATTCCTGATGCAACCTGCCTGGACCTCTGCAGTTTATAAGTTTGATATCCCGGTAATTGGTAGAACTGGGTATTTTCAGTGGATGAGCCGGCTTCTACGATCCCATATAAATCAGCACCCTCCTTTGTAATAATCGTCTTCCATTCTGTGAATTTGTCAGCAGTTAGGCCACCAGCGTTCCAGAACATATCCTTAAGCTGTGAGTTGACTGGGCCTTTTGGTTTCCTTAATTTTGATGGATTCATATTTTTGTGGATTCTATGATGTTGAACTGGCTTCGTGGCGACAATATTGCTCGTTTAGTTATAACCGGAGGGCACGTGTACAATGGACAGACACGAGCAAAGTTACCCAATTTTTATTAAAGCTTTTTAGTTTAAAGTTTTAACAGCTGTTCAATCTACAATCCTAATTGTTACTATAATCCTTTTAATTGAAAATCAGACATTGTACCAAACTTGTTATAACATTGAAACTTAACCAATTTTTTTAGGAGAGTAAAATGTAACTTACCTATATTTTTAAACAAATGTTTGTAAAATAATTTATATTTATTCAAAAAATTGTTTTATGGAGTATGTATTTTGGTTAATAATGACTGGTTTCTAAATTATAAAAATATGTTGGTATATTTTTAGATTGCAAAAGAGGGTGACACAGATTTCCCTAAAACGTTCAATAAATAACAATCAAAAGTTAATTTTAATTTTTTTTAAACTGACCTTAGGCATACAATTAAGTGTGAATAGAAATTAAAATATAAAGATCAAAATTTCAAAAATGGAAAATTAACAATTTAAATTTACCTTCAAAAGGCGGTGTTTTCATGTAAGTAATAAGGCAATCAAGATGGAACAGATGGTTACAATATAACCGTTCCACGTGGTCACTGGCTGACTCACTTGTCTGAGCGTCCTGTAAAAAGAACATTATTAAAATTTTAAAAACAATAATATAAAAATCACCCAATTAATTTTGTACCTCGACATTTTTTATATTTATAATTGCTTTCCCAGTAATACTCTACTTAATAGTGAGTTCAAAATTATAGCAAAAACTTTGACTATTTTCTTGTATAACAGAATTTCTATCAGAGTATAACATGCTGAAGAAATTTCATTCTTAAAATCTTGTCCTTTTTAAAATATGAATTTTCAGAAATGGGAAAAATTAATTTTTTTTAATACTTGAATATTACAAAATGGTAGCATGGCTCAAATTCAGTAACTGAGACTCAACCAGTTCCGGAGCTATATTTTATTAAATATGGCTAAAAATTGTGTTATCTAAATGGTGAGTCAGCAACCTCCAATATTAAATTTGGCTGATTCCAGATGTACTGACCCAATTAAGACTAGAAAATAAAAAATTCTCATTCAATTAGAAAGATTCATTATTGAAAATAAACTAAAAACTTTATTATCTTAAATCTTTGGTCCAATATCTATGATTTTTTTTTTTTTAGTTTGTAATCTATGAAAAAATTAATAATTTTTGAGATAGATGCAAATGAAATTTTTTTGTTATACATTTTTTCTGGCTTTTTCTAAAGGATGTAGAGAGAGAATCACTTTATTATCATAAAAGGGTGCTGCCCAATTACATTGGGTTGCTTTAAACACAGCATACTTATTAATCGCTACAGACAATTTTCCAAAACTAATATAAAATTATACAGTTTGAAATTAAAACTCAGCAAATTTCTACTCCCATCCTTACAAATCCTTAGTCATGACAATCCATATGATATCCACAACTCCTTTCATCTACGTAATTTGTTATTATCCCTAACCATTCCCGATAATTACATTCTAGTCTCTTTCGACGTTAAAAGCCTCTTCACCAACATCCCTATAGATAAAGCCCTTCTTATAGTAGAAAATAACTGGTCATCCTTAGAGTCTCATACCTCCCTTAACCGTTCATCATTTATTGAATCCCTACAACTTTGTTGCAAATCTGGTTATCTCCAGTTCCATGGACAATTTTATAATCAAATTGCAGGATTAGCTATGGGTAATCCTCTCGCACCCGACTTATCTAACATTGTTCTTAATGATCTCCTAAACACCATAGCCCCACAGTTTCCTAATGACATATTTCTTATAAAAAAATACGTCGATGACCTTCTTCTCATCGTCAATCCTGATACTATTCCTGACATCCTTTCCGCCTTTAACTCATATCATCCCCGCCTCTCTTTTACAGTTGAATACGAAGATAACTATTCCCTCCCATTCCTCGATCTTCTCATTAAAAGACATCCCAACAATACTTTATCCACAGACTGGTACACAAAACCAACATACTCTGGCAGATTACTAAACTACTATTCTCAACACCCCTTTCACCAAAAACTTAACGTTGCCAAAAACCTCATTCACCGATGTTTTTCTCTATCTGACCCTTACCTACATGAAACAAACACTAGACGCATACAACAGATACTATTGTCTAATAACTTCCCCTCCAACACCATTAAAAAACTTATTACTGACTACAAAACCCGCCCCTCATCCTCCATCCCTTTCTCTAGTTCTCAAAATCAGCCCCCCATTCCTTTATATAGATCTCTACCATACATCCCTTTACTTTCGGATAGAATTCAAAAATCTTTACGTTCCTCTATTCCCAACCTGCGAGTTGCTTTTAAAAACTATAACAAACTTGCCAATATTTACTCCAACCTAAAAGACCCCATCGCTCCGCAACACCGCTCTAATATCGTATACCGCATTCCTTGCTCTACCACCAATTGTAACTCCGCCTATATTGGAGAAACCAAAAACCAACTTAAAGACCGCATCAAACAACACAAATACTCAATTACTTCTAAGAACTCTACTGCTTCTAAACTCTCTGAACACGCCTTAACCTCAAACCACACATTTGACTTTGACAATACCTCCATTCTTGCCACAGTACCTAACCACGACAAAAGACTACTTACGGAAAGTGTTTTCATTCAATTAGACTACAAACCACTAAACTTAAAAACCGACAAGCAAAATCTATCACTCGCCTATTCCCAAATCATCAACATTTTAAAAAAGTCTCGATCATAAACCTCTATTTAATCTTCTCACTTCCATTTATACTTTCTTTTACTTCTCCTTTTATATATATATATATATAGAGATTTATTATATATATTGTTATTTATTATATATATATATATATATAAATTTATATTTATTATATATATATATATTTATTAAAATATATATATTTATTAAAATATATTTATTAAAATTTATTATATATATATATATATATAAATTTATTATATATATATTTATTATATATATGGTTATTTTTACTAGAACTTTTTTTTTGACACTGCTAACTAGAGTTTTTGACACTGCCAGTGTTTCAACCGCCTCCCGCAGTGCCACATCCAACGGTATGTTTTGACTTTTATTGAGATTCCTTTCTTAACACACCTATCCTTCAACTATACACCTTATTATTATCTTCATATAGCCTACCATTCCATTACCGCTTTCAAAAAACTAAATGTCAATTGTCATCTATATATAGTACAACCTGTTTTTGTTTCTTTATCATCATAACCTTGTTTTTACATTTATTCTTACATTTTAAAGTATTCTTTTAAAATTATTGTTTTCTTATAGAGTTATTTATACTTAATAATCTATCCCAACAATATTACACTAATGTTACCCTATTAATCTTTCAATTTCTTCACTTCTTAACCTTTGGTCCCGTTATCTGTTTATTTACAATTAAAGGTAACCTCCACTTGCTTGTTATCCACTGATATCTTATTATTATGTTATCTTATCCATATTTTAACTTTACTGTAACAATAGTTATTCAATTTTCAATCAATTTATTCGTTAACATTCATTTATTCGTTAACATTCATGTATTTATTTTCTTTTATCTATTTTCTTATCATGTATTTATTTTCTTTATCTTTTATTTCTGTATCTGACAACTTCTTCGTAATTTATATATACTTATATTTATTTTTTATTTTATTTTTATTTTTTCAACATGTTTGTATCTTTTGTAGCCCTGAAGACGACCTGCAAAGTGGGTCGAAACGTCGGCAAAAATTAAAATTATTTATATATTTTAATTTTTTTTATTTTTTTGACCGCACCCTCGACTAATTCCTTCTCATAAAATTATACAGTATTAACAATATGTGTGAGCATAGTATACAATTTTTTTTATTATAATTTTTTCTCTCACTCTCTCCCTCTATATATATATATTTTTTTTTAAATTTTTAATACTTCTTTCATTCATTTATAAACATTACATATCCCTTTCTCTTCCTAACCTCATTCATAAAATGCATACAAATACATAAACTGCAGTGGACGTGGTCAATAAATAATGTAAAAATGTTGTAAAACACGCATGCCTCCCCCCATGAACAAACTCTCTCTCTATCCATGCGCATGGTGATGGATAATTCCCAGGGAGTCGAGGATTATATTCTCCGCCAACCTTGCCACGACATAAAATGAAAATTTTATTTTTCATAATAAGCCATTTTCTTTGAAAATGGTGTAGATATATTTTTGACTAGACGTTGTTTAATGTAAACAATGGATGCAATCTACTAACAGCTGTTTGTGTGTAACAATTCCCAAAATAAAAAAATCTGTCTAAATTTTCGTCATTTTGTCAATATAAATTTTATATTGTTAATGAAATTACAAACATAATTGCTTTGAAAATGGTGTGAGTTCACTTTTCGGAAAGATGAAATGTTAAGTCATTGAACATTAATGTTTAATCATAAAACATGATACACAATTTCTCTGCTTCATATCTTTATCTGTGGCAACAGTGTGAAGTTTCATTAAAAATTATCATTCATTCATTGAAATTTTGATACTTCCCCCGCTCATTGCACAGTATAAAATTTAGTAGTACGGTTACCTCTAAAATTACTAATTGATAATTTTATTAATTAAGGTTTCATTCAATTGAAATTATTTCATAAATATAAGATTTTCAAATTTTTTAAACTTTGAAAGTGGTGTAAGTCCATTTGATGTTATCAAAAGTATAACTTTCTTTAAATTAATATTTTTAAAACGGTCATGTTATAGACTTAAAGCAATTTAATATTTAAGAAATATAAAATGAGCTTATTGACATTTAAAAATATTTTTAAAATCATTCAAATACAAACCGTTAAATATCTCCCTGTAATATAAAATGGATTTACACCACTTTCAAAGAAAACAGCTAAAATGATTAAGTTGCTCTTAAGTAAAAGGCTATTTTATTTAATCTCCAATTCCTATATTTATTTTATACTAGTTGGCCCGTGCGAAAAATTCACACAGTATAATATTGTTCAGTGATCAAATGAAAAATTAATAATAAAATAAAATAATGGAAGGTACCTTGATATAGCGATATCAATTGTTATTTTCTCGCTACATAATGTAAGGTTGTGTGGATGGGAACCCTTTGCCTTGCATTATCTCGAAAATAGTACGTTTTGGGGCTTAATAAGGCAGAGCCTGATAATTCCGAAGACCTTGGGTGTTCCCAAAATCTTCAAAACCTAATTTGTCCATTATCGACTTACTGACTTAGCACCATTCCAGTATTGAAGCCTATATCAGCTTTATTTATTTTAGAAAAGAAAAGAAAAGCGGAGAGTACGATTCGCTAATCTCCCGTAAAATTCTGAATCCAATGGTACCCCATTCATGGTATTTGAGCATGACAGTAGCTTATATTTGATACAAAACCGATTTCAAGCCTTACTGTAATAATATATGTGGGAATAATTTTGATGATGGTGTTTCAGCTAAATCTAGAGTCATTCTCAGGTCTGTATAAACTTTTTATATTTTATCAATTTTAATTTTAAATAAAGATCCACATGAATCCGCTGTCCCGATTGTAAGTATTAACAGACGCGTTTTTGAACTTATGAAGTTCTCTCATTCCACTGTTGATAAGAAGTAAAGAGTACATAAAGATAAGGTTTTTACTTTTTTTCTCATTAAATAAAGTATTGCTTAAGTTCATTAAGATTAACTTTTGTAATTTAGATGGCATATCGTGACCACTGTAATTATAGACAGCCTGAGATTGGTTAGGGTGAAACCAATATGCTGTTAAAATGACGGTCATCTATAACAACTGAACTTACTTTGTCCCTTTAAAGTCATTATAAATCATATCCATTGTTTAAGTGTTTTTGAAAAAAATATTTACAATTCCATAACAAAGATGAATATTGATATTCCATTAAAAAAAACTAGAAATAGTTATTATGTCGAACAGTCACCTCTGGGTCGGTAGGAAGACCTGTCCTCTTGCAGAGCTGGCAATGTTGCCGAGGTAGAACTCTCACTGCGCTGATGAAGAAGTGGGCACATGGGAGGAGGGAAGGGAGGGGGCAGAAAGTTTTACCAGGCGGCAGGCGTAGCGGTGGCTCAACGCACTTTCTCGCTGACTCCTTTGCTTGCCCAACGAGGAACCTCTCCATGTTCGGTGGAAAGTTGGAACTCGCCTCAATTCTGAAAAGTTAAAAATATTAAAAAATTAAGTCTATTTTTCTTTATTTATTTTAGTAAAGAAATTAAAATCGTAGTTCTAAATCCAATTCCGTCCAATCGACCATTTTTTTTTAATGAAAACTTCTTTAGGCGTGTTTTGCACTTTTTTGTGGAGAGTAAATAAGATTGATATGTCAGATTTCTGAAGTGTTAGAACGTTCGGGTAAAATTGGCTAGAGTTTTGAAATGTTACATACGGCTTGAAACATCTCAGAAACTAAAAATTGGGCCTGCATACTGTAAGCGAGAGAATTGTTCAACATTTTGTCCTCTCTCTGTAATAGGCTATAATTCAAAATTGTCGCAATGCCGTGTTAAAGAGGTGAAAAGGAAAAAAATAGTGTCAAAAACCAACTGATAACAAGTTTTATTGAAGATATGGATTAAAGTATCTCAGAAACTAAAAATTGGACCGGCATACTGTAAGCGAGGGAAATGTTCAGCACTTCATCTTATTTATAATGAGCTATTATTTATAAGTTATATTTCATATTATTAATCTTGCTTTATTGATGTTTTCACTTCTATCCTGCAGTCTAAAGCATACACCTTAGTTTTTTTTTACCAAAACAGGTATAGAAATTTAATTCATTCCAAAAGTGGTCCTGTTTAAGTTTCAATGTTTTTAAATAATTATTAAATAATCAATGATTTTCAGAAATATATGCTATAAATAAAGATTTTTTTTTTTGTTTTAAAAATATTGGTACTGATAATTGGTTTCGAAAATATACTTTTTTGTGTTTTTTGAAAATTTGACAATGCTGATTAGGGTTCAGTTTGGAAATAAACAGCTGATATGTATAATTTTTATTTTTTTAAAAAATTACAAACTTAAATTTCTATTGCAAAAAGGAAATTTACTTACCCAACTGATTGTGAAGGGTATTCATCTGGAATTAAAAGTTTGACTTTAATAAAATAATTTCCTTCAACTAGCTTCAAGTGGATTGTAGATGTCTTCTGTTTTAATTTTATTGTGTCTCTTTCACATATCTCTTTCTTTATCTGCGCTATTTCATCATAACAAGAACAAAGAGGATTTTCAGAAATAAAATTATTTATATACTGGACGGCCTTCAATATCTAAAAAATAATTTTAAAAACTCATTTTATTTATAGAAATCCATATATAGAAAGGAAAAGTGCATATTATCTTTATCTGTGGTTATAATGAAACTTTTTTTGAGAATTGTGGCAGATTTTACAATTAAAGAAAAGATAAATGTCATATATTATATAATTTACAATAAACAATGTAGTCATACACATTGTTATGTTATTTAGTTAATCTTTTCATTTGTTTCTTCAATTTAATCATTCTTATTTTAATAATTATTGAATTCTAAGCCTATTAATTTCTTTTTATCCAAGTAAATTGTGCTTAATAATCACAAAAAGTAAAGGGGCTCTGATTAAGAATGAATTATGCAGTCTATGAAAAAACATATATAGCAACTGGAACGACTGTGCGGATTAAGGTGCTTGCAATATTATTTTAAGGTATTTAATATTATTACATTTGAAAATTTGTAATTAGTAAATTTCAGTAAATTTTTACTTACAATATATAGTAAGTGTAAATATTGCGATCGTGAAGATTTTTGAGTCTGATTTTTTAACGGAAATATATGTTCGTATGAAGGAAATTCATATGAAAGTGAAATTGCATATTTAAGGTTTTTATAAGCTTTCAATGTTATAATAATAATAATAATAATAATAAAAAGCTTAGCGAACCCGAAGGTTCGATGCCGACACCACCAATCGCTTATTACACACCTCCCTCCACCGTTCGCCGTCCAAACCCAGTCCCCTCAGATCGGCTTTAATGCAATCTTCCCACCTTAGCTTCGGTCTACCCCTCGGACGCTTACCATTCGGCACAGCAAATATTAACCTTTTAGGAATTCTCTCGTTACTAAGCCCAACAACTTTACAAGCCCATTTGATTCGCCGCGATGAAATTACCTCAATTATATTACCCGGATACAGCTCACGCAATTCGGCGTTGTGTAACCGTCTGAACTCTCCGGTTAACTCATCTTTCTTCGGTCCGAATATTCTACGCAATACTTTATTTTCAAAAACCTTAAGACGCTGTTCATCCCTTAGTGTAAGCGGCCAAGTTTCGCATCCATAAAGAACTGTAGGCAAGATAATTGTTTTATAGATTCTAATTTTTAAGTTCCGGGACAAGAGGCGCGAACTAAGTAGTTTTGTCACAGAAAAATAACAAGCATTTCCAGCCTTCAGTCTAACCTTATATCTAAGCTTTCAATGTTACAGCAACATTTTCGTCAAAATTGGCAAACCGGAGATGATACTTTATATATTTGATTTAAAACATTTTTCTTAAAAACAGCTCTAACGATTTTGATTAAACTCAGTATATCAGTGTATTATTAAGCAAATTTTAATATAATGTAGCTTTTATTCTCATTGATGTTCTCTATCAGGACTTAAATGGCTAATTTTCAATATTAACTTCCTCTAAAGTACCTTTATTTTTTTTTTATTTGAAATAATTAACCATTTAACATTAAGCTTTTATATAAAAATAGTTAAATATAAAATATGAAAGAATTTGATAACTAACTAAAGGAGAAATAAGAGATCGTAACGGATAATAGGTGTAATAGAGGAATCAAAGGAATACGGGCTTGCCCGAGCTCATCCGAAAGATTACAACAGACTTCCATATTACATGAGTTTCATATAGTATGGACTCTGACAATATCATGCTTATATACATATGCAGTTTTCATAAATGCTATCGTTGGTATTATTTAATATTTAATTGAATTGAATACAGTGTTATAAAAATTAATATTTGTATATACAAGAGTATTTAAACAAATAAAAATACCTACAATGAATTGTAAATATGAATGTAATAAATAAAGCAACAATTTTTACTTTTGCTTCCCCTTTGACTGAAAATACTTATTTCTGCTAAGAAGAGGGTGGTAAGTGAAAATCGTGTGATGCAAGATTCTTTTTGTTCACTTCTATTTTTCAACTCACACCTGTTAATTACATTTATCAACAGTCAGCAGATGTTGAAGCTAAATAATGGGAGCAGAAAATAATTTATTCTTATTCTTTTAATTCTAAATAAATTTACATATATTTTTTACCAAACAGAGATAAAGATATGCTGGCATTTTTTGAACGACAGTGAAAAAAATTACAGGGATAAATATGTGTTAAGCAATTTTGAGCATGGTAAGAGAAACTATATTTTCCCCCACTCCTGACATATTAAAGAACATCTCGTACATACTGCGATATTTAAACTTTTTTTTACTATTAGTGTCCTCCAGCTAAATAATTTAAATATATTTTTAGGTAAATAGGGTAAATGCAACAATAGTTGACATGCTTAAGGAAGTTCCATTGAACTTTTAAGTGTAAAAACTTGTTATTATTGTATTTTTCTTGAATTCATCTCATAGAACTACTTTTCACTTGACCAAGACACATTTCAAATCCACAAAACATTCACCTAAATTTCAATAAATAATAATAAAAGGCTTAGCGAACCCGAAGGTTCGATGCCGACACCACCTATCGCTCATTACACACCTCCCTCCACCGTTCGCCATCCAAACCTAGTCCCTTCAGATCGGCTTTAATGCAATCTTCCCAACTTTGCTTCGGTCTACCCCTCGGACGTTTACCATTCGGTACAGCAAATATTAACCTTTTAGGGATTCTCTCGTTACTAAGTTTTATAAAATATATAAAACAATAATTCTCTCGTTACCTAAATTTCAAAAAACTGTAAATTTAGAGAATTGTTTTGTTGGTACCTGTAGCTGCCACTATTTGATTTGAAATTTTTCTAAAGCTGACAGGGATGAGAACAAGGATGTAATTGAGTGAAATAAAGTATTGAAATTTTACATTCTTCATTTTGTAATAGCTATTAAGACAAATTACCTTTAGCTTATAAAACAAAGTTCTGTTCTTTCCAGATTTAAATGTATTGGTAAATGCAGGACACAGTCAAGAATCTGTTTTTGCTTTTTTATTTTTGACCCATATCATTAGTGTTTCTTTTTCTTTGAACGAGAGAGTAGTCGATGGACACATTTTTTAAAACCTGTTATATTAAGTATATCTCTTAGAATTTATGTGAGTATAGGCCTGCCAGCTAATGGCAAAAGGCCTCAATGGCTAACACTCATTTCAATTTAAATATCCAAATAAGTTAAAAATAGATAAAACATAATATAAAAACACTTTAAGAAAAATATAACAAAAATTTTTAGATGAATTAAAGTCGTTAAAGAGAAAAGATTGAACCTAATGTATGATGCTCTTGCTGATAGATGGTTGCTCTAGGGACACTAATGGACTTTCCTAATTTGTCATCCATTATTTCAGTAACGGTTCTCGGCAAGACTAAGTAGACAAATATACAAACATAAAATATATAAAACAAAAATTTATGAAATAAAGGTATAGGAGAACTAGGAATCATTTTATTTTGATTTTTTCTAGAGGATGTCAGCATTAGTATAGTCAACTATTGATGCTTTTACACTACTTAGTTTTCTTATTAGGCTAAATCAATAATTAAATTCCTTTCCTTATATTAACAGACCATTTTGCTTACTGAAATGATTTTAGCTACGCTAAAAAATGTAATCTAACTTAAACTGCCAAAAGACAAATACACTGGATAAGCTTTGACATTTCAAGAAGAGTTTGATCCTGTGATCTTGGCATATTTGACAACCAAACGTGATGTGACTGCTTGTCATTTTTTAAAACATTCTATAAGAATTTAACTTTGTTTTATTATTTACCTGTGGTTTTCCAAATTGCTTCTTTAAATCTTGTTCGCAAGCAACAGTCAATTTATTTAGAAGCTTATCTGAAAGAGTTTTGCTTTTTAATTCAATCAAAATAATCGAAGACGGATAATCCTCAGGGAATTGAAGGCACACTACAATGCATTTGGTAACTGTTTTCCTGTAAAACCAACAAATAAGATTTGATGAACATGGAATATTCAACTACAGGCTAGAATAATCAGTCTAAATGGAGTTAATTACTTTATTTCAACTCTGACCATTGACTTGACACAAGTAACAAGTCTACATCCTTGGACAAGATGCTCACACAATTTCTTAACTTCTTCGAGCTCATCTTCAATAAATCCCATGGACCAGTAATAAATCTATTGAAATATTTTTAGGCAGCCTAACAATGATGGAAATCCTAATTATAATTTATAAATTGTAAGATTTAATAAGTAAAGCATAACCTCTTATGAAAACAATACAAAAACCTCTAGCTACAGAACTACAAAACTAAGCATTGTTTATTTTCTAACTAACCCTGAATGATTTTGAATATTTCAGCATAATTTAAATTATGCAGAGAAATTCAAATATATTTTTCAGATCAATATTTGAAGTTTGTTAATTTTGAGTTTGCATAAAACCAACGAGGTCGTCGGTACCTAATCGTTTGATTCTTGAACCGATTCTTTCTGCACATACTTTTAAATAAAAATATTTTAGTCATTAAATTTGGTTAAAAAGAAGGCTTTAAATATAAAATTCTAATGTAGTTGTTTTCAGTAACTTACTGTGTGTTTTTAGGGCACCCAAATATGAAAAATCGTCAAAAATATCGCGTTTTTTTCTTATAACTTGCAAAGTATGTTTTTTTTTCAGCAAAAAGTTGCACTATAATAAAGCATAGATCAGATAATTACCTAAAATTAATTTTCTGATTTTTTTTTTTTTAAACTACTCATGGTTTCCGCGAAAACAGGCGAAAATCATGGTCAAGTCAAATTGTACTTCTAAGAGGGGGTTTAGGCATTCCATACACTATGGGAAATACATTTATTCAACTTAACTAGCAGTGACATCGCCAAAACAGAAGTGCCCATCCCCCAAAGTCGATGACACAAGAATCTACCCCCACCCTTCTCTTCCCAAAATATTTTATAGCTCAACTTTTCTTAAAAACAGAACAAGCTAAGGTAGAATCAGAAAAATCGGAGATCACATACAAGTACACTTGCTGTGATCTGTTCCATGTCTTCATCTTGTTCCTTAGTTCGAAAATTCATAAACCCATCGAAATTTTCTCCCCTAAAAAATTCAAAAACCCGTCAACATATGCCCCTCTCAAAAATTTTGATGGCGCAACTTGCGCTATGAAACCTCCTTCTGGACACCCCTGCGCCAAACCAAACTATTTATTTTATTAAGATGGAAATATCAAAAACAAGAACCAAAAAGAGTGAAATAATCATTTTTATATTTGTTTATCACGAAGTTTGTGAAATGTCTAAACGTACCTTAAGAGGAAAATTCTGATTCAGTAGTTTTAAATTGCTTCATTAAGATTTTTTGGGTTGTTGAACATGAATCTGAAGTTGAACAACGAGATTTTTCGGTAAATATGAACACACGAAGTAAGTTTTATATATATAAAAAAAAATACCTACAATTCGTGTTCTTATTTTCTGTACGACTTTTGGTTCCCGAGTACAGCGACGTAGAAAAATGGCAAAAACATAAAGAAAAAACATTTTTTTAAATCTTTCCGATTATTAGGTCATGTATTATTATTATATTTATGTTCTTTTAAATGAGTTAATAACGAGAGACATAGGATAATAGCCTCGAAGAAAGGCACTTGAGTAGCTTTCGTAAAGACAGCACGAGCTCCCTACAACTAACACCTAAAACAAAAGTTAAATTTAAGCACCTTAATAATTTAATTGTGTTTTAAGCCCACCTTACACGGTCAATATTATTCAATCGATAATATTGAATCAATATTCTTGAACATTGTATACATCGTACAAATGTCAATACATAATTGTTACAATATATCCCTCAGACGGCCAATATATTCGATATTGACTCAATAATATTTACCATGTAAGGCGGGCTTTAAAAGTTATCGTGAAAGGCTACGGTATTGTCAGTAATTAAAAGTCATGGTTGTGATCCAAAAAATGAAAAAAAGTTTAAACTATCCTTTATGAGAGCAAATAAGTTTTATTAACATTTAAGATAGGTTACGAACTAAATAAAATAAACCGTTTACTTTGTATAAAAAATAAAAATATACATTATTAACTATAAAACTGAAAGTGGTTAATGATATTTTAGTAGCTTCAAAAATTCAAGAAACAGTTATTGATTGAAATACTATCAGAGATGAATATTCAAAACAATATAAAAAAAAATCTAACATCATCAGTTCGAAATTTTCGCAATGTACAGGGCTGGAGTTAGTCCCTGGCTGGATGTGCCATATCAGAAATTTAAAACCCAAGTTTTTGATGACGCAACTTGCAGCATGCCACCCCCTTTTGTGCACCACATTGGCTGATTGTTGATAGTTAAAACCTATTTTCCAATAAGTTAAAATTATCCAATCTGACTGATACGTGAAAGAACCGTTGTCTTTGAATTCAATATCATTTCTAATTGATTGTATAGAGCCCACTAATTTGCGAAAGAAGGAGCTGATAGTATTTAATTAGTCATGAATAAACAGTGGATTAGGATACTTTACATTAGATCTATTTTGCTTTTTATTTATAATTTTAATGTATATTTCATTATTTTGTTTGTTGATGTAGATTATAATTGATTATTTTAAACTGATAAACATCTAGAGACCGAAACCTTTAGCTAATAAAATATTATAAAATGCTAAAAACGATCTAATTTTATTCACTCTAAACTGCTGACCTACTGAACTTTAATTATTCTTAATAGAATTCGATTGATGCTATTCACTGAACAAATAGTAAATGAACATATCAACTTTCTGAAAACTAAGGACGGTGCTATTAAGCTTTACAGGCGAACGAAATCAGGTTCCTTTGCTTCATAATTATTCTTGTCTTAAAATAATGTTATCAGTTAGTTTATATGATAACTCTTTCTCGCTGCTGTACTCAATATTTAACTCGACTCATTTATATAATCGATTAATCCCATAATCATTCGATCATTCTCTTGTTTATGTTCTGGAGCAATCTGTCAAATTATTCTTATGATTAGTTCGATTTGACATCACTATTTGTGTTCAATATTATCTTAGTTTTTTTTGGATAGTAATGGATCAAATTGGTTAGTTGGACATTTATTTTATTCAATCAGTTCGATTACATTTCCAAAATTACCATCTTTACTACTTACCAAGAGTTATAATTTATCATTTCGATCTTAACTCTTAGTCGTTTGAATTGGACCAATGTTTTTGTAGATAATCACATATTTGTGGAAGGACTAATCCATTTAATTTTGACAATCTGTAAATGTTTCTATTTTAGCAATTAGTATTACCATATTTATTATTTTATATATTTGTAAACAAATGTATTATTTTAAAATGTTTTCAATCATTCTATGTTTGCTTATGCTGTTTCATCATTAAACTATAAAAGTTTATTAAACCATTAGAGTGATAGCCTAGAAGATAAAGAATCCTGCTTACATTTTTTATGTAGAAAGTTATCTTTGAAAATCAACCAATTACATGGAATTTTAGTTTTCTTTAATAATTCTTTACGAAAAAGATTAGTTTCCAACAAGAGTAAAATATTAAGGGAATAATAAATGTTGTTAATTTTCTAGCTGTTGCTTTATTTATAGTACATGCCTAGCGTACATCAGTAATCATTAGGCTAATTTGGGTTCAAAGGCAATTCTGCTGCGTGATATCAGGTTACCTCTTATCAGGCTTCTCACTGCATAGTACAACTGCTCTGTTATCTGCTAAAATCTTCTTGTACTTCTTCTTTTCCGTTAGCTTTAAGTGCCATTATTGATCCAAGGTAAAGAAAGGCAGACACTACTTCAATATTTTTACTAGAATGACGTAGAAATCAGTGCACTGTTTTTTCATTATTTCTATGATTGTTCATTTGGTCTTCTTGATATTCACCTCTAGACTAGCCCTTCTTTTACCCGTTTACTTCATCCTATAATTGCTACATTATCAGCATCTGCCATTGTTCTAATTCATTCTCAGGTCCAAATAGTACATTTTATCAAAAGCTAACCAACACATTCTGTGATTCGGTTTTTTTATTTTTGAACTAATGCAATTGAATCAAAATCTGGAAAAAGTTTCTCAAATTTTACAATTCATATCTTCAAAATACTTAAATTATGCTAGATATAATGCCTGAATTTATCATATATTCTTCACTGTTTCAGATGTAAGCAATCCTACTATTTTTACTAAGGAAGAAAGAACTGATCAAAATGAGCCCACTTGTGAGTTTTTCTCTCTTTATTTTTTTTCTAAAATCCGATTCCATACAAGTTCTGGTACTTGTGAGTTAGTCGGTGTCCATGGACTTTCATCCGCCATTGTTCATAGCCTGAACACTGATAATACCTATCTTCTTACTTATATTTATTAAATTGAAATAGACAAAAACAAATATAGTAACAACAGAACACTTATATCACAGTTCCTTCATGTTTTTTATTTCTCTACTTAGCTGAGTCTTATAACCGTTCCCCATACCGTTGAGTATGGCCCCCACTTGAAGGATCGATGAAGTTTTACTGGTGATTCTTCTGAAAGGTTACTGAGCACATGAACAATAGAAAAATGTTTAAAAAAATACCCACCTACTGAATTGTTGAATTTTAAAAGAGAGATAAATATGTGAAGTTCCTAAACTTCAAATCCTCTGCTTCTTTAGGCATCCCATCAGTAATGTGATCAAATTTATCTTGTGCCTTGTCACCATTTTGGAGTACCACTTTGATACTTGTATCGTTTCTAAATTTGACTTGTTCTATTTGTAAACCTTTTAACAATGGAATTATTTATTTATGTTTTCATTCGAGTAATAGTTGCTTGCATTGTTTTTATCATAAAATCATGAATTTATAAATTGTTCTTTACTGTTTCAGATATAAGTAACACCGATATATCGATTAAAGAAGAAATAACTGATGAAACAGAACAAAACCGTAAGTTATTTTCTTTTTAAGAATTATTAATATTTAAGTTTGTTATTAATTTAAGCTATGTGTAGCTATACTGAGTTATTCAAAATTTCTTATCTTCTGTTTTATAAGTTTCAAAGGTTTCGGGTTTGCACTGTTCATACTGTACTGTCCGGGTAGTTCAAATATTCATTAAATTTAAGGTAATTACAAATTTATTGTAACAACAAACAACTACTAACTACAATAACAACAACTTCCCAGAAAAAAGACAAATATTCATTCGTGTAGACCTGTCCCAATCTGTATAGTAGCTGGCCGAGTCACTGGGTTAGGGTCAACTCCAAGATCAGGTCATCCAGTTTCATCTGTGACTAAAGTAAACATTAATGCTGTTTAGAAAGTGCTCGAGGCTGGCAGGGATGTGACCACCACCAGATAGAGGGGTACTTGGACATTAATGCACCAGTAGTTTGTAATGTTCTGCGCGATCATCTTCAAGTTAGGAAG